AAACAAATAACAAACCTTATTTTTTTAACTTACCTTTTTAATTCAGGTTCCAATGTCCGATTTGGGCATATAAACAATTGCCTAAATCCAGAAAGTGGTGAAACTGCAGCCAAAAATAGATGCAGTCTTCCACCACCATTCTTTTCACTGGGGACTATACATTGTAATCCTCTTCTGGTGATGGGTTATCCAGCAATTACTTGTTTAACCTTTATGTTCTCACGATAGATTTCCTCTAATTCATCATTTGGAGATTTATACCCAATAGCAGTAATTAAGACGGTATTAGAGTATTGTCAAGACAATTCCTCTTTGAACTATTCCTCACTTTCTCCAGATTCGGGAGAAGATATATGCCATTCTATATCTTCCTTTATACTATTGTTTTCATATTCGTCGTCAGCTATATCCATTTCAGTAAGGTTAATAATAAAGCATTTGGCAGTTTCTTCATCATACATGCGGGACAATGCATCAGCAATTGCATTATGTTTTCCTGCTCTATGTTCAATGATAAAATGATATTGTTGCAGTTCCATGATCCATTTAGCACGTCTTCCTTTTGGCATTTTTAAGGTTTTTAGCCATTTTAGGGCAGCATGATCAGTCATGATAGTAAATGGTCGACTAAGGTAATGATGAAAATACTTGATTGAACAAATAATTGCTAGACACTCTAAGTCAGTGATGGGATAATTTTTCTCAGTTTTGTTAGTTGATCTGCTAGCATATGCAATAACATATTCTTTTCCATCCTTCTTCTGAGAGAGTACAGCACCTAATCCCTTCTTTGAAGCATCTGTATATAAGGTAAAAGGTATCTCGAAATCTGAGTATTGTAAGATTAGTGCCTTGACAAGCCTTTCTTTTAGTCAGTCAAAGGCATGTTGTTGTTTTTCTCTCCATTCAAAAGGTTGATCTTTCTTTAATAATAAAGTCAACAGCTTGGCATATTGTGCAAAATCTTTAATAAATTTTCGGTAGTAACCAAATAATCCTAATACAGCATGTAGTTGAGTTAGACTTTTTGGTTCTAGGAATTTTTCAATTTTCTTAATCTTCTCTGAATCAGGTTGAATTCCTTCTTGTCCCATGATATGTCCTAAAAATGCTAAGAAAGGTTGGCAAAAGTAACACTTCTTTAACTTTATCGCCAGGTGAGCATCTCTAAAGGCTTGAAACACTTGTTTAACATGATCGACATGTAGTTCAAAAGGTCCTTTTGTATAGATGATTACATCATTAAGATAGACTGATACAAATAATCCAAGAAAGTCTTTAAGAA